GCGTGGGCATGGCAGCCATTTATTTGAATAGGCTGGCATGCCTGCATTTCCCGCAAAAATATATAAAACAAATGCAGCCACAGGGAAATCTCATGGTGCTTTTACAGTAGGCGATTTCCCAGCAGTTCCTGCACCCACAAAAGTACTGCGGATTGAGATGGGCAAGGGTGCTATTAAGAATGAATGGCAGCCCCGTGCATCTCTACAGAGCAGTGCAATGTGGCTGCAGGTGGTTGTGAGCCTTGCCTAAGACCCTGACTTCCCATATTCTCAACTCTTGATAAATGCTCATTGTTAATTTTTTTTTTATTGTGCTTTTGATTTTATTTGTCCTTTTCCATTTTCCCCCGAGCAACTAATGTGTCTTGGAACCCCCACAATCAATGACAGTTGCTGGGTGATGCATAACCATCTAGCCATCACACTTGTTCAGACCTGTGATCAAGGAGTCTGGTAGAGGATTGGCTTACATCTAAAAACATTTTGTTTTACAGCTTTGAGATGTGTGCAAACAAATGCAGAGAGCTGCAAAGAAAGCAGATCCTGGAAAAATGCAAAACTGTGAAAAGTATTGTACTCATATTTGTGATGATGGCATGGTATTTTATTTAGTTTTTTTTTTTCTTGGGTAAGTCCATCTAATTTTCACAAAGCAGCAGTCCCCCTGTTTAGCAAATAAAGTATTTACTCCTTTACAATTTATTTCCTATAACCTCTTTTCTAGCACAGCCTTTCTCAACTAGGGTGCCCAGGCACACTGGGGTACCTTTCACAATATTATATTATTAATTTAGCTGCACTTTATACTGTATTTTTATAAGGAGTTGTTACCGTTACCTTTGTGCTAGCTGCTTCATATTTATTGCTAGCGCTCACCTATATACTGTATTTTACTTTTTACAACCTGCCAACTGCCGGCATCCTAACAACCAATTACATCATTAGGTGATAAGGAAGACATCTAGGGGTTTATTTACTAAAGCTGGAGAGTCCAAAATCAGACTCCCTTCTGCATAGAAACCAATCAGCTTCTAACCTCAGCTTGTTCAATGAAGCTTTGGCAATGAAACCTGGAAGCTGATTGGTTTCTATGCAGAAGTGAGTCTGATTTTGCACTCTCCAGCTTTAGTAAATAAACCCCCTAGCGTCTGCACAGAATCCTTGTTTTTCCCTCTCCATCAGCACTGGGGTCACATTAGCAGAGTGAGGGAGAGAAACTGAAGGAGAAGAGGTACATAAAAATACTAGTCAGTACCAGTGTGAAAAAGTGTATTTGCTTTGGAAGAGTTAATCACCTCTAACGTTGGGTGTCCTACACGCATGGATGTTGCTGAGTTACAGTTGTGTTCAAAATAATAGCAGTGTGTTGAAAAAAGTGAATAAAGCTCAAAATCCTTCTAATAGCTTTTATTTCCATACACACAAATGCATTGGGAACACTACACATTCTATTCCAAATCAAAACATGAAGAAAAATATATCAAATTTGTGTTGTTCCTCTAAAAAAAATTGAAGAAAAGTGAATATTAGATGTATAACCACTGTTTCTGAGAACTGCTGTACAACTATGTTGCATGGAGTCAACCAACTTCTGGCACCTGTGAACAGGTATTCCAGCCCAGGATGATTGGACTACATTCCAAAGTTCTTCTCTATTTCTTGGTTTTGCCTCAGAAACTGCATTTTTTTTGCATTTTCTATTGGATTAAGATCCGGGGATTGGGCTGGCCACTCCATAGCGTCAATCTTGTTGGTCTGAAACCAAGATGTTGCATGTTTACTGGTGTGTTTGGGGTCGTTGTCTTGTTGGAACACCCATTTCAAGGGCATTTCCTCTTCAGCATAAGGCAGCATGACCTCTTCAAGTATTCTGATGTATTCAAACTGATCCATGATCCCTGGTATGCGATAAATAGGCCCAACACCGTAGTATGAGAAACATCCCCATATCATGATGCTTGTGCAACCATGCTTCAACCGGCCACTAGACCCAAAAAGAACAATCTTACTTTCATCAGTCCACAAAATGTTGCGCCATTTCTCTTTAGACCAGTCAATGTGCTCTTTGGCAAATTGTAACCTTTTCAGCACATGTCTTTTTTTCAACAGTGGGACTTTGCAGGGGCTTCTTGCAGATAGCTTGGCTTCACATAGGCGTCATCTAATTGTAACAGTACTCACAGGTAACTTTAGACCTTCTTTGATCTTCCTGGAGCTGATTGTTGGCTGAGTCCTTGCCATTTTGGCTATTCTTCTATCCATTCAAATGGTAGTTTTTTTTGCTTTCTTTCATGTCTTTCAGGTTTTGGTAGCCATTTTAAAGCATTTGCGATCATTTTAGCTGAGCAGCCTATAATTTTCTGCACTGTTTTCCCCTCTCCAATCAACTTTTTAATCAATCTACGCTGTTCTTCTGAACAATGCCTGGAACAACCCATTTTCCTCAGAATTTCAGAGAGAAATGCATTGTAACCAGCATGGACAACATTTGCTGCCTTCCTTCCTTAATTAAGGGCAATAATTGCCACCTGTTTTTCAAAGAATGAATGACCTCACTAATAGAACTCCACACTGCTGTTATTTTGAACATGCCCCTTTCAATTAGTGATTCAATTACACAGAATCAGCAGCATGCATGTCATGACTGTTGGGTCTGTTGGATTTCTATTACTCTACTACACCTGCTAGTAAATGATTTGCCATGTAGAAATATCAATTCTACCAAAAACAGTGATTGATCAGGTTAGTGATGTCTGACTGCTATTATTTTGAACACAACTGTATGTAAAACTATTAGAATAATTTTTTACATTTCAGAGTGGGGTGCCTTGAGATTGTCCATAATTTTAAAGATTACATAGTTACATAGTTAGTCTGGCTGAAAAAAGACAAAAAGACATCCAGTTCAACCAATTAAAAAAAAAAGTTATCCCCACAGTTGATCCAGAAGAAGGCAAAAAAACCCAGCAAAGCATGATCCAATTTGCTCCTGTAGGGAACAAAATTCCTTCTTGATCCCCCGGGAGGTAATCGAATATTCCCTGAATCAACTTTACCTATAAATGTTAGTATCCAGTTATATTCTGTGTATCTAAAAAAGAATCCAGGCCTTTTTTAAAGCAATCCACTGAGCTGGCCAAAACCAACTCTTGAGGGAGTCTATTCCACATTTTCACAGCTTTCACTGTGAAGAAACCTTTCTGTGTTTGGAGATTAAATTTCTTTTCCTCCAGACGTAAAGAGTGCCCCCTTGTCCTCTGTGATGACCTCAGGGTGAATAACTCTACACCGAGTTCACTATATGAACCACTGATGTATTTATACATGTTGATCATATCCCCCCTTAATCTCCTCTTCTCAAGAGAGAATAAATTCAGTTCTTCTAATCTTTCCTCATAGCTGATCTCCTCCATCAGTTTGGTTTGGTTGCCCTTCTCTGTACTTTCTCCAGTTCCCCAATGTTCTTATTGTGAATTGGTGCCCAAAACTGAACTGCATATTCAAGATGAGGTGTTTACTAATGATTTGTACAGGGGTAATATGATATCTCTCTCTATACCTCTTTTAATACAAGAGAGGATTTTGTTTGCTTTAGAAACCGCAGCTTGGCATTGCATACCATTATTAAGCTTGTGATCTACCAGAACTCCTAGATCCTTCTCCACCATTGATTCCCCCAGTTGTACCCCCCCCCCCCCAGTATGTATGATGCATGCATATTCTTAGGCCCAAGTGCACAACCTTACATTTATAACATTAAACCTCATTTGCCACATAGTTGCCCAATTAAACAGTGCATTGAGGTCGGCTTGTAAATTGAAGACATTCTGTAAGGACGTTATTCCACTGCACAGCTTGGTGTCTACACTCGGGCTTACCATGTGGCATTGCTCAGGGAGTCCCTGCAGCACTTACCTTGTCATTTGCTCCCACGATGTGTCCCCTGCAGCGTCCCCGGCCATCTCCTCCGGCCGATGCCGACATCCGGCTTCCGTATTCCGATCCCTGTGACGTTGGGACGTTGGGGCGGCAAATTTGAAATTTTTAAAAAATGTCATTTTTTTTAAAATGACTATTACATAGTAAAACATTGCTGTTTCAATGCATTTCACATACATTTTGTCCCTACTGCTTTGTCCTGTGCCCTGCCTGCATTTTGACTGTTCTTTCTGCCTGGAAACTTAGAAAAGTCCATGGCGTCCAAAAAGCATCCCTTTACGTCAAAAGCGGTTTTAGACCAGCTAGAGAACAGCGATAGTAAATCAGAACCACTTGCAGAATTGAGTGATAATGATTCGTCATCAGACACTGAAAACGATTTTGCGACTTTGCTCAGTGATGTGCGAATTTGCCTCTGTATTTCAAATTTCAGTGTTTTTGGTTTGATTATATTATTGAATTAAATTTATTATTATTATATTATTATTTTTTTATGATTATTTATTAAATTATAATTTATGATTTCGTGTTTCAAATTTTATCATACCCGGGATGTTTACTAGACTCTTGTTCGTACAGATTTCAGTGCGTTATTCCTAAAAATTACAGCCTACAATAAAAAACTACATATTTCCATGCAAAAAAATGGTACCGCTTTCAGCACAAAAAATCGGAAATAATCAGACCGCCGAGGAGGTTAATCCCAGACCCTATATCATTATATATATATTAAAAAGTAATGGTCCCAACACTGAACCTTGGGGTACACCACTGATGACCCTAGACCATTCAGAGTATGAATCATTAACCACTACTCTCTGAATACGATCTTTTAGCCAGTTTTATATCCATTTACATACAGATTTTTCCAAGCCCATAGACTTTACCTTACATTAGCCGTGTGTGGGGAACTGTGTCAAACGCTTTTGCAAAATCCAAGTATATCATGTCCACCGCCACCCCTCTGTCCAAGGTTTTGCTCACCTCCTCATAAAAAGAAATCAGATTTGTTTGACAACTTCTGTCTTTCATGAATCCATGCTGTCTGTTGCTTAAAATGTGATGGGCACTGATAGGCTGCACTGATGGACACTGATAGGTGGCACTGATGAGGAGGCACTGGTAGGTGGGCATTGACATGCATCACTGATGGGCACTGAAAGGCAGCACTCATATATGGCACTGATAGGTGGCACTGACTGGCACTGATAGGTGGCAATGACTGGCACTGTTAGATGGCACTGACTGGCACTGTTAGGCGGCACTGATAGGCGGCACTGACTGGCACTGATAGGCGGCACTGACTGGCACTGATTGGCAGCACTGATAGGTGGCACTGACTGGCACTGATGGGTGACACTGAAAGGCAGCTCAGATGGCCACTGTTATGTGGCACTGATGGGCACTGAAATGTGGCACTGATGGGCACTGGCAGGTGGCATGGATGAGCACTGAGAGCTGGCACTGATGGACACTGACAGGTGGCACTGCTGGGGCTACACAGATCATCAGGGCACACTGATCATCAGTGCTCTGATGATCTGTGTACATGTCCCCTCCGAGGAATGACGATTACCGGCTCTCCTCTCCTCACGAGCTGTCAGTGTGACAGCTCGTGAGGAGAGAAATGCCGATAACCGACACTTACCTGTTGACATGTGATCAGCTGTGATTGGACAGCTGATCACATGACCGAGCCGACATCTTCGGCTCTTTCCATGGATCGATGATCCGCTGTGTCCTAGGGACACAGCACACCGCCGATCGCCGCGCTGCGTGCTCCGGGAGCTATGCATGCGCAGTTAGAATGGGAGGACATCATATGACGTCCTCCCAGAACGAGAGAACCATCTTGCCTCTGTCATATTACTATATGGCGGGCGGGAGGTGGTTAAGGACCTGTGGGTGTATGCCATCCTGTCCAGGTGCTTTATTTACCTTTATACTGTCTAAATATTTTTGGATCATATCAATTGTGAGCCAATGTGGATCATCTGGATCTGTGTCAATACCAAACCCATTATGGACAACAGCTCCCCCATGCTCCTTTGTATACACAGAGCTGAAGAAGGTATTTAATACATTTGCCTTCTCTTTGTCCGCAGTCACCCACTCTAGATTATTTTGTAAAGGGCCTACATGCTCGGACCGAACCTTTTTACTATTAATATATTTGAAGAATTTTTTCGGGCTGGTCCTGCTATCTTTTATAATCTGTCATTCGTTTTCAATTTTTGCAGCCTTTATTTCCTTTTTGTATATTCTGTTATATTCTTTGTAATGTTGTCTCTCAAATTGGTGTTCCATATCACTTTCATTTACCAGTATTTTATTGTAATTTATTATGAAGATGGTATGCAAATCAGAAGCACTGAAGTACAAATTTTTTAACATCTAATCCAAGTTAGCAAAGTGGTCAGTGGTGTTGATGGCCGAAGGCAATTTACAAACAATGACTGCAGAGTGGCAAAATTTATACAAAAGCATAACTATATTCAAGGGACAATGTAAGGGTGAAAAGTACAAATGCAGGAAACAACGGGCTTCATATATCTCAGGACCCAGTAATGCCTCGCACTGAGTTAAAATAATATTTTTTTTGAGTGCATAGAAAGATAGCTACACTGCTAAAAAAAAAATTAAAGGAACACAACAGATCTCAATGGGGAAAAATCTAATGCTGACATCTATACTGATATGGATTGGGTAATGTGTTAGGAACGTAAGGATGCCCCATCGTTTGATGGAAATGAAAATTATCAACTACAGAGGACTGAATTCAAAGAAGCCCTGAAAATCAAAGTGAAAAATGATGCAGCAGGCTAGTCCATTTTGCTGAAATTTCATTGCAGCAACTCAAAATGGTACTCAGTAGTTTGTATGGCCCCCATATGCTTGTGTGCATGCCTGACGTCAGGGCATGCTCCTAATGAGATGACAGATGGTGTCCTGAGGTATTTCCTCCCAGATCTGGGCCAGGGCATCACTGAGCTCCTGGACAGTCTGAGGTGCAACCTGGTGGCATCAGATGGACTGAAACATGATATCCCAGAAGTGTTCTATTGGATTTAGGTCAGGTGAGTGTGGGGGCCATTCGATGGTATCAATTCCTTCATCCTCCAGGAACTGCCTGCATACTCTGGCCACATGAAGCCCAGCATTGTCGTGCACCAGGAGGAACCCAGGATCCACTGCACTAGCGTAGGGTCTGACAATGGGTCCAAGGCTTTCATCCCGATACCTAATGGCAGTCAGGGTGCCATCTTCTAGCCTGTAGAGGTCTGTGCGTCCCTCTATGGATATGCCTCCTTAGACTATCACTGACTCACCACCAAAATGGTCATCTTGAATGATGTTACAGGCATCATAACATTCTCTACAGCTTCTCCAGAATGTCTTTCACGTCTGTCACGTGCTCAGGGTGAACCTGTTCTCATCTGTGAAAAGCACAGGGTGCCAGTGGCGGACCTGCCAATTCTGGTGTTCAATGGCAAATGCCACAGAACTGTACTGGAACGCAGTAAAAACACGTAAAAAGTACACCAGAACATACCAAAAATGCACTGGAACGCACATGTCCCTATTTAAATTGATGAAAAAGAGAGGGGAAAAAATGAAGCAGAAAGCAGAAAAACCAAACGTCAAAAACGCACCTGAACGCACCAAAAATGTGTAGAAACGCGCATGCAGAAAAGCGTTTCTATGGTGTGAACCAGCCCTATTGTTATTGCTTTAGTTTAGGTGTTGTGTTCCCTGGATAGCCTTAGTGGCTCACTGAATACTTGGAATTTTATTTAAAGGATAATTTCACCTTTAATAACATGATACATGTTACACCCATATTTAAGGTGTAAAATGTAAAATGTTACTAAATCACCCCAGTCCATTGTGATAGTGGGTTGGGGATCCTCTCCCCACATCCATTGTCACAATTCAAAAGTGTGGTAGTGTGGGGCTTTACCCATACAACTGCATCATTCTTTCACAGAGTTGTGTGAATGAATGAACTACATTTACCATCAGCCATTGTGGCAGATGGCTTGTATTCCTCAATGAACTTTGAAGGCGCTGGTGAGCACTCTCATAGTTCACTGATTTTACTGGACTTCAGTAACTGCCTGCCCATATCAAAGGTATGGGAAGACAGCTATACTGACAATCTGCAGGAGCTTGGCATTGCACCCACGATCTGTTAATTGTGGATGCAATGCTTTACAGGCTCCTAAGAAAAAAAATTATAAATGTACATTTTTCACCTGCAAAAATGTGCATTTATTTTTTTTAGAAGGTGAACTTAGCCTTAAATATATATTGCAATGCCTTTATAAGGTTAATTTTGTTTCCTGGAAAATACATACGATTCAAAAGAATGCATTTCTAAAATATAAAAAGCCAAAGTAAAAAAAAAGTGTTAAATTATCACCAATAAAAGTTAAAAATACTAAAGAGTTAAATTTAAGAAGCTACTGAATTTACTGGGTAACATAATATACAATAAAAAATATTGCAGATAAAAGAAACAGAAAATATCAAAGCATTTATGATTCATATGGTATATAAAATCATACTGTACAAGCTTAGCCCGTTCTCAAAGATAGATTCCTATCAATGTTAAGGACAAGACTAAATCAGATATTGCAACTTATTAACTCTTTTAATTGGTGATTCTATCAGTACAACCCAGTGTGTATATTGTATTAATTTATACGATAAATTGAAGATTGTATAAACTCTGTTATCTCTAACAGTTGCAGATTTTTCAAGTACTCTCATTAGTATGTTACATCATTACAATAGTAATAAGATATAAAACAATCAAGATACTGTTAATGAATACAACCAAAAGAAGTAACATGAAAAAAGTGACAGTGACTAACCTTAGCTATAGTTTTTCTTATTAAACTTCATGCTTAACTGAAATATTACATTACCCCTTTGGGACTAAAATACTATGCTAACAATTAAATGGATAAACAGATAATGAAACAGTTTCTGTAATAACAAAGTAAAAGGAATAATCAATGCATTAAAAAAAGTAAAAACTCTGCTGTATACATAATATAATAATAGTATTTTCCTGAAATTAAATTAGATTGAAGTACCAATCTTTGGATTCATTCCACTTTTTGATACTATTCATCAGCTTTGGAACATGATTAGTATTCTGTGTCTTTATTGGTTGAAAAAATGTTTTGAAATGTGAATTGAGAAACAAATGGAAGAGGTTTATGTCAGTTGGGTTATGTGTTAGTTTCTATGGTTGAACACTATTCTTTTTATGAATCATATTCCTGGACTAATCTGTGGCAATGAAAATGTTTTCCATTTCATCTAATGCAGTGACCACAAGATTGAGGTTACTTACAATACAATTATATTTTTTATTATAACTCCTAATAAGCACACACGTATCACCAGAAGAAAAGCTAGCATGAGAAAGTAAACTGTGGCCCAAATACAAATTTTGCATTTCTTGTGTGCTTGCAAGCAAGAGGTATAACCTTTAACTCCAAATATTCCTCTTAAAAGGAGGAAATAAAAATCAGATAAGGTTAAGATTAAGGTCATTTGGGTTTTAATGTTTTTCAGTACATCTACAGTATTTACCAGTGTACATACTATCCATCACTTCCCATATATACAGGATGTACAGTAACAGGACACTATGTTAAGAAATAAATGCTATAGATTCAATACCTCTCCCTTTGTTTTTTCTTTCTAGATACTGGCAGCTGTGCCATACAACTGGAGTGGTGTTAATCTCCTCATCTGTTCCAGCACTCGTGCTATATTTATTCCACTTTTTATAATGTGTGTGTACCCAAGTGGAAAGCCAACCTTTAGCCACCCTGCCTGGCCATGCATCTTTTCCCTGCTTATGGGAATAAGCAATGGGTATTTTGGCAGTGTACCTATGATACTGGCATCAGGACAAGTAGTGCCGGAACAAAGAGAGCTGGCAGGTATTAATTTGTTTCATTTAACCTATAGAAGCTTGGATGCTGTTCTAGTGAAAATGTAGACCAAATTGTAACCAACAGTCAACAGTGGACTTACGTTGTTGAAAATGACAGTTCCAGAAATTAACAGTGCTTTGCTTATGTCCAAATGTCATACTCTGTATTTTGAAATACTTAAAAATGTATTGAAATAGAAAATGTAGATGTAAACCAAATTATTTATGACATACATAACATACTCAAGTGGTAATTAACTCCAATTATAGCATTGTACCTACAGGTAAGCTTATAATTAGCTCGCCTGTAGGTACAGTGAATATCTTTCTAAACTTGCATCATTTAGAAGATATTCACATCGGCTGTGGTTGATGATGTCACTGGTACTTGCACAGTAGCTCTTCATTCAGGGCACACTGAGTGCAATGCAACACCAGGGCTTTGCTTCCTCTTTAACCCTTTATCCTAAAATCGACAGCATTTACTGTATATATAGACCAATAGTAGGTGAACTTTGGTCTCTTTATTGTACATCTATGTTGTGTTCATAATTTGTTTACTTTGTCATTTGTTTTCTCTTTTATTCTGCAGGAAATACCATGACGGTTTCGTACATGACTGGACTAATGCTAGGGTCAGCTGTAGCTTATTTTGCCTACAGTTTATCTAGTACTTCCCACAGTATTTGCTTCCATCCAGAGACCTACAACAGTTCACTGCCTCCAGAGCTTTGAATATATCAACCTCAAAAATGATTTATTACTACTGAGATATTGGCAATATTTAATTTAATTCTAAAACACATTGTTATCATGACAAATGCCGTTAATAGATATTTCACGAGTGTTGAACTTTTTGATAAAGCCACATTTGTGCAAGCACATGCACTTGATGGAATATCAAATCTGACAACATATTTACATGAGTATATCACTTCTGTCATTTTGCCAAAGCCTTTTCGTGTAGTGTAATTTTATAAAAGTCTGTGTTTTGTTCAAGTATTGTTCTTTTTTGCTTTTCTTTATATGTAACACTTTTACAACAAAAAGTGGAAATTTGATATTTTTTTATAAACAAATTACATCATGCAGATTCATATGCAAACTTAATTGTGGGTTGTATGCCTTGGAAAACTGTAAAACAAAAGGATATTTAATCATCAAATTTGCTTGTGTCATTTTTTTATAATTGAAACTGTGTAAGTAAAATCAAAGTAAGCAAAGTAGCTGAGACACAAAAGGAAAATAATATATGAAAGAGGAATGACAGATATTGTGAACGGCCTGGCACTTATATTTTATTTTACTTTAAGTAACCATTAAAATCAGGTTTGCAAAGTTTTGCAGGAGCTTGAAAGTCATAGATAATTTGATTTTATATATATATATATATATATATACTAAAAAATTGTACTTCTCATTAAAAATAAAGTTCCTTACAACTAATAAAATACCATGTGGACCGCGCATAAATTAAGTGCATTAAATTTGACAATACATGAGTAATATTGCTTCACATATACAAAGTGAATAATTGTAACATTCAGTCCCAATTCGGAAAAATAAAGTGCCCAGGTGTTGAATACTAATTGGTGAACTTTGTGCAAAAATGACAGGTGCTCCTCTGTGCTCAATCAGTGCCCCACATAGATGTCAACTCACCGTTAGCTGTGGACCATCTATCTCTAGGTTGGTCTTAAGCACCTGGTTTGGGACTAGCCCAATGCGTTATGGCAAGAATGGCACTAATATTCATTCCTGGGAATCATGCGATCTGTCTGATAGTAACCAATAGGATGATGACCAGCATGGATATAATGTAGTGTAGTTTCAAAAAAGCCTTTTTAAACTTTCTCTTCTCTTCCCAGACAGTAAACCAAGTTTCAGAATGTGAACAGAAACAAAAGCAAACATCCCATAGTGTAAAACCATAAAAAAAACTTTAATGGTGTGGAAAAATTATAAGAATAAAACTCACAAGCAAAGTGCCCATAACCTGGCACTCAGTGTATTCAGCCTTGCTGCCTGTGAATAGGAACCAAGATGGCTGCAGCGTTCCAATGGGCGGAAATGACGTCAGCAGAAGTTGCGTCATCAAACCTCGACCGGTTTCAATCAATGGATCGTCATCAGGAAGTCCAACCAGTCGAGGTTTGATGACCCAACTTCTGCTGACATCATTTCCGCCCTTTGGAACACACACTGGAACGCCATCTTCGTTCCTATTCACAGGAAGTTCACCAATTAGTATTCAACACCTGGGCACTTTATTTTTCCGAATTGGAACGGAATGTTACAATTACTTTGTATATGTGAAGCAATATTACTCATGTATTGTCAAATTTAATGCACTTCATTTATGCACGATCCACATAGTATTTTGTTTGTTTTTGTGTTATTCACAAATTAGGACAGAGTATACTTATCAAAGTTGCATGAATATCTATTCCTAAGCACAACAGCACTATATTTTATTTATTCCCTACAACTAATGTTCTTCCTTGCAGTAAGCTACTAATTAGAAAATATAGAATTTTTGCCAAATTTGTAAATATCTAAATTAATGTTACACTGCACTGAAAAATGTCCACTGTAGTCTTTGAGCACAGTCATGTTGAATTGTTCTTTTTGTTCAGAATCCAAGTCTCTCTTGGTAGAAGTGTTAATGCAAGCCACCAAAACCACTGATATTCCAGTGCTAATTACTTAGCATAGTCACCATCATTCTTCTAATAATCTTCACTATGTGTTAGGTATATTTCTAAAGGGTTTTAAAAGGCTTATTATATATACACTCACCAGCCACTTTATTAGGTACACCTGTTCAATTGCTTGGTAACACAAATTGTTAATCAGTCAATCCCATGACAGCAACTCAGTGGATCTATGCATGTAAATGTGGTGAAGATGACTTGCTGAAGTTCAAACCAAGCATGGATCCATCCTGCCTTGTATCAGTGGTTCAGGCTGGTGGTGTCACACTGTCAACTGGATGGCATCTTCCTTTTTGCTAGCGCAGCCAGAAGATGATGGACACAATGCTATTACTTATAGCCATACTATAATACTCAGTCCTTTGCCTCCTTAACTAATGCAACCATTGTACCAGTCCAGCTTCACAGTCAAGTTTGTACGTTGAAAAGATTCAAGCTCCAAATCTGAACAGTAGCCAAGTAAGGATGCCCAATATTTAGTATCTAGACTGAGGTAAAGAGTTGACAGACAGAATGAAGTAAGGGGTGCTGAAAATAGAACAGTTGTCATTTGCAATGTAGGTAGCAATATAATGCATTAGGTTTGTTTAATGATGATGGCACATCTGCAGAACATAGACCTTTGTGCTTCACCACACAGTTTGTGTAAAAGGCTTACCAGAAAATTATGACCCACATATAAAGAGTGTTTATTAAAAGCTTTTGACAGCAGGCTTCTCCCAGAAACTGAAGCAACTCACAACTCCTCCAATCTCCTAGCACCATGAGGTAAGTGGAATAGAAGACTGCAAAATCCTCCCCATCTCAGAAGATTCGGTATATCATGCAGAGATGTAAAACATAAGAACATATCCCATAGTGTCAAACCTTAAAACTAAAACCATTTATTAAATAAAAATGCACCTACAAGAAATTCCACAGTGCTGTGAACATAAAAATATCCAAACTTGCAGAATCAAACATGGCCATCACTCAGTGTGTACGTATGGTCACGTGTATCTTGGCTCCATTTTCTCTTCCTGTGTGAGGCTTAAATGGACATCCTGTTCCTATTGATGTAGAAAAGGTAGTCAGGAATCTACATCATTTTGAAGAATTAGTCTGTAACAGAAAGAGAGGGTGTGAATGGCTGGACCTGTGTTTGTGAATTTTTATTCATTTGATGTCAAGGGGCAGAATGCTATGGCTTTTAGTAAGGAGGAAAGAAAGGGACCAATTATCTCCAGCCCCAGTGGCCAGAAGCTGCTAAGTCTGGATCATAGGCATATCTGGTTCTGTGGGCCAGTAAAGCAGGAGAAAAAGGTTTCTTGCTCTGAACCTACCTCCCTTACTCAACCCAACAACTCAGATTCACTGCCAATGAATCTGTTAATTGAGTGGAGCCTAATAGGGAACTGAGAGCTTAAGCTCCCTATTACAGCCACCCTGCCTGTAATTGACAGCGCATGGCAGTGGGCAGAGTTGAAAGCAGCTATTAGACTGATTAGTGGCTATCGATCTGTCCATAATACAAACTAAAGAGGGTTCAATAGGGAACTAGTCTCTGAATTCCTCCATTATGCTCTGCCCACCACAGCAAAAAGTCAGTGTGAGAGGAGCAGTGGATAGGGAGCAATGAGCTGAGAAAGTCCTGGGACATGAATCAGGTGCAGGCACAGACACTTGGTGCAATATCCCTGTGGAATATTAAAGTGTGTCCAGGACACCCTTTATGAATTTCCCAGAGAGAGTGCGGGTGCAAATCATGGGTTTCGGAGTATTGGTAACAGGATAATGAAATATATCTGGGTAAACCCTCTAGGCTGTCACACAGGTAGATCTGATCATGGGGTGTTGTTTTAGCACAGAAGAGAGCACGTTTGTACATCAGTGAAATGCAGGAGGAGGAATGGGTGACAAAGCCTGCTCTGTTTACACCCAGAGTTTAGACCTGTCATATCTGCCCTGATCTATCACCTGTGCAAAGCTAACCCTCCCACCTCTTTAGATCTGTGCAAGATAGCATGTTGCAGCCTGGTTATTTCATTGGTCCAGACAAATTTGTTCAGGAATGATGTGGTATGAGTATGGGAACTGTTTGTAAGGGGTACAGGAGCTGTTCTCTTTTATGACATTACACTTCTCTGTCCATGAAAACGTTCCTTGTGTGTATGAAGGTCTGCAGCTGGTGTATGTCAACCTTGCCATCTTTGGTAATAACTGATGTGGGCAGCAAGGGTATAAGAGGGAATAGGATGGCATGCTGTATGGGGATAATGGCTGTAAGGAAGTGAAAGAAGATTTGATTATTGTAAGTTTGGACAGTGATAGGATCTTCAAGAAGGGATTTGGTTTGATCATCCAGGAAGGTAAGTTTAGAATTCCTTGGATATGCTCTTATATATTCCAGGCAGGACTTGGTGCACTGTGGTGATTGTGAGTATAGAAAATTGTACAGAGTTTGGTACCTATTGTTGTCTTAAGGCATTGGCAAGGGATCTACTGCATTAATTGACGTAGTCATAGAAGTGGCACTTACAGTTAGTGAACATGGCTTTTGCTTTGGTAAGGCATAACATAAGTAGAATAAAAAAGCATAAAGTGGAAAAAGCGCCAAAAAATTTAAACCCAACAAAAGCTGCTAAACCTTGCCCTTAAAATAAAGGTAATAATAATGAAACAAAAACAGAAAAGGTAGCGCTATTGTCAAATTAAATATACAATTGTGATAAAAATTATATGTGAACAAAAAATGTCTCTGAGAATATTTCTTCCATTAATTGTGAAAAACGTCCATTACCAAAACAATTGTGCAACTCCACCGCCAACAGAAATGAATAAACTCACCAGAGCAAGTTGCCAGTTAAATTATAAACCAGCAAATTGCACTTCTTTGCTCTGGGAGGAATACTCTGCAGGCAGACTCAGCGGTGACCAGATTTTCCAATCAATTCACTCTCAGCTAATGGTGTGATATTCTGCAGGCCAGCGAAACCCAGATCTCCAGAAACTTATTATATATATCCTCTTTGGGAGCAATAC